GTGAGCAAGAAGAAAACCAATCGCGTGTAAAGAAAAATCCGAAACTAAAATCTGACAGAGAAGGAAACAAAGGCTATAAAAATCGCATTATATGCACAACACACAATTCAAGCCCCGATTACAATGCAATTACTAACGATTACATTATTCTCGTACAAGAAACGACTATGAGGACGACAATGGACTGGTTGAGCAGACTAAACCCAAGCATCTCAAATCTGGAGAAGAAAATCGAGGGGGAAGAAGAGTGTTGTAGATTTAACAACAAAACTACAATCAAGAAAAGCATTGTGTTTTATAAAAGAGTAGACATTCAGAAAACTCTTCTTCTTTTCTTAACCTTCCTCCACAACGGACAGATTTTACGTTTTAAAGATTGCTTCTCACCCTGTTTTCCAACAATGCTACACTATTTTGCAATTTTGCTCCATGATTATAGCTTAATAATAAGTACGTATGTACGTACGTACGTGTACCATTATCATCATTTCGAATCCAGATGTGAGAAACCAATCGAAATGTAAATTATTTTTTTTCTAACGTCCAGACAGACAATAATATCACGTTATCTTTGCACAAGCATCTATCATCTCCTGAATTCAAAGTTATTAATGAAGATGATGCACAAAGCAGAATTGAAATAAGTCACATGCAGTCTGGAATTATATTTCTTTAGCGGCCTTTCTTTAGTGGCCTTGCATCATACGGTATATTTAGCTTCGTATATGCTATATCTGTATGACCATTAAATTCTCATTACGGACTATGTGTATGCAGGAATTATGTTTCAGTGAAAACCATTACAGCGAAATAGACACAGAGAGTGACAGAGACGTAATGCTCCGACAACATCCAAGAATCAACAATAGATTTACAGTACAATAGACATTGTATTGAACCAAGTCTTGTGTCTCGTTGAATGGTACGCGTTAACTGACGGCAAAACTACGTATTGATGACAAGTAACTGATGATTCTGATGAGTGGGAGTATGTAATTTACTACAAAACTAATTATTGATAGTGATATTTACTATTTATATCTCTCATTTACACACTCATAATGGTAATCCTTTTACACTATTTGATGCTAAGTATTGTAATGAAACGTGTCTCATAATTTTTGGCAACAACCAGCATTTTATATTATGAATTGATGTGTAATTAAAACAAAATTCATCTGACTTGAAGAAACTTTTATCCGTGCTCTTCTATATATTCGAACTCGAATGGATAACGGATAGGGATCACGAGATAAGATCCTCACAATATCATATCCAATATTTGAATTTCCGGTTAATACCCCACCAAATTATATTTCCAAGTATAATCAATGGAACTGGAGCTAAGGAATGAAAGTGAATGAAAGTCTATATGAATGTGGATTCATATAGGAATAACTCTTCTGAAGATTCGTAATGAAAATCCAACAAATAACTTGCGTACCACGCATATCGGTCTGTGGGACGTAGGAATAGCGCAGAATTTCATATATTACATTCCTTTATTAAATTCCTCTACCAATACTTGGACCACAAGGAATAATTTAATACATTATTGCAAAAATATATGAATGTGGTGCTTTCGCTCCATACTGTTTTTGTAATATTTTATTATGATATCAAAATTTGTTAATTAGATATTTTGATAAGTAATTTCATTTTTCAACATTCTCAAAACTCGAAGATTCAGACTCTATTTGCTCTTGATTTGAGTTATGGAACGAAATAGAAATCTCGCTTTTGAAATATCGAAATCAAGCTTTCGATATTGTTCAATCTGCATTTATGTAAACTCCGTACATGTGTAGGGAGGGAATTGAACATGCGGATAGAATGAAATAAACTACATTTTTTCCTTAGAAAAACTCAAATTCGATGACATTCTTTTCTTATCCTACTTGATGTTGTAAATCAGGTGGATTCTTCGATTCTTGCATTCTTTTTCTGACATAAATATCATGCATCTAGTACCACTCAATACATCCATCATTCTAAAAGCAAAAAAATGCTTGTATATTGTGCTACATGCATATGTATATATTTACTTCTTTATCTTCTCGATATGCAGGGTGGGTCCAAGTAATATGCAATTGAAATGCTACACAAAAGGACACAATGCATTGTGAATTGTAAATTTTGAATCGCGTTCTCCTGTAGCATTGGATAGTTTCAACTATATACATATGCCTATATTGATGCATAAGGATAAAAATGTCCCATATGTATTCTATTTGAACTATTTCTACTCGTCATAATCGACACATAGAGATCAGTGTTTTAATAAATCCCCGGGGGGAGTAATGAGACATCCCCGAAAACTTGAATTGAATTGCAAGTTATCTACCACGAAGAATCTGGCTTTGTGGAATCGAAATTTCTTCCTCAAACCGAAAGACTTGAAAGAAATATTATGGGCAAATATATATTTTCCTCTCGGAGAAGGTTGGGTTAGGAAACGTTAGCTAGCAGGCAGGCTATTGAGAGAGGAAGAGAGACAGGGAAAGGAAAGAGAGAGATTGACATGAAAATTGAATCAACGTCCTTTGTTGTCACATCGACAACCAAGCCAACAATATCAATAAATGATTTACTTCACTTTCTTATTCTTCTCGATCAACATGAGCAAACAGCCAAACATTTATGTACGATGCCAATACGGCTTCGTTCTTGGAGGTTCTTCGACAGCATTATATTGGGCTTTAGGTTTAGAATTTGCCAATTTTAGCTCATTCTGTAAATTAAATATTTCCCTTTTACACGTACAGGAAATAGATTGGATATTTAAACAGAAAACACGTCCAGTGTCAAAGTCTATTAGCGAACTGAAATAAAATTTCCAACGACCAATATGACATTTCTGCAATAACGAGATGTCGTAATATTTTAATTTGTCAGTAATAAAAAACAACCACGTAATTTAACGCCATCCTCCTACATACATATAGACACGTCTTGTTCTCCGAATAATAAAAATGCATTTCGAATACATAACCGTCTGCCGGGATTTCCCACTTCCTTGCCAAATTCTTTCTTTCGAATTAGATTTGATAACCCTTATTCAGTTTTAAGTGTAAAAAGTGTTAGGCGTGTATAAATGATGATTATAAATCAAAATCAAATTCCCATGAAGTCAACCCTGTTTGCTTAAAATGTTTGGTTCCCCTCATATATTCCGTTTCGCCTCCCCATATTTTTGTTTAATAGGAAATATTACACAACAGGAGGGAGCAGATGTACATGTTCTCGACCTCAGAGGATGTGGACGAGGTGGAGTATGTTTTGATACATGGAGAATTTATTCAAGTATGGTACACAAACACACTCCTTGTCTATGTCCTGTCTTCTGCAGAGTTATGTAGCTGCAGAGATGAGATCAGTTTTTAAAAGTCACGTCTTGCGATTTGGAAACCCAAATTTCAATGCTCTGGTGACTCTGACTCTTCCGATGGCGAATGTCAACCGGCTTTTTGAGTTATGACGACATCCCAATCGTATAAGCAAATACTCGAGCATGGGCAAATGTGGGTGGATCGTTTCGTTTTTCCCAAAATATCAACACTTCAATTATCACTAAAGGAGATCAAAAGCTCTGACAGAGATGCAATAGTGAAATATTAGAGTACTAAAATGTTGCAATAACTGATACAATAAAACCTTAGAGAAAGCTTAGGATTTGAGGATCTGCAAAACGGTTTCTTTCAAAATTTTATAACTTAATTTTGAAATTTAAGAAAAAAGATCCTTCTTAGAATGTGTCTTGGACAAAAAATAAATCACTAATCCAAAGATAAGTATAAGCATATATGAACGGTTAAAGAATATATATTCCTCTGCTACGATGTTAGTGTGGATGGAGAACTACTGTTTCAAAGTTAAGAGATATCGATACATGTACGTACATTATTTTTTAGGTAGCCTGACTTGCATGTCTCACTTGTCGTCGTGTAATACTTATCATGGTTTGTGACTGAGCTTATCTGTGGTGTACCTTTGCATTTTCATGTTTTGAATCTGATATTTTTTACCACATAGACCTTCTGCATGGGGACGCTTGTATTTTGACACGAGATTCGAGTAGCAACGTGGACAAAAAATATAACCTAAATTTCCCTCTCGTGCATGTAAAGAAACCAAAGTGTACATTTGCATGTTGTCCATAAATACCCACGTTGGCCTCTGCGTCTGCCTGTTCAAGAAAGCCGAATGCGATAATAGATTGTAAAGTGACAAATTCTTAAAATGAAAACATGGACAAGTTCTCAAGAAAAATTCGTTTTCGATCAGGAACTGAAACAAGGGTTGTAAATCAGTGTCAAATTTAAAGGCAGGAGGAAGCGCAAACTAAATAACTTTCTGGCTGTTTTAAGATCAGCCCATTTTTCCTTGCTCGTGCTTCCATTGAATATGAACACAATATGATCATCATTATTGTAGGTTCATCATCCTCGCTTAAACCTTGAAATCTAGATTCAGTTAATTAGTAGTGCAAACTAAACATGTAAATTGCATTGTTCTCGCACATTGACAAATTAATGGAGACTTATTAAGATATGATTCAAGGTCATGCACGGCATCTTCCCTAAGCTGAAAGCTTCGAGGTGAAAGCTCTCTCAAGTATCACTAATTTTAAGAGACTGCAGAGAACCAAGAGTCTGCATCAATCTTTTTCTGACGGGGATGAGCAAAACGTGACGTGGTGAACAATGGCAAGATTATATGGACTGTCCAACAACGAGGATCAAACTGAACCAATAAACTAAGGGATGTCCCTGCTTAACCGCTTTTGATAAGGTAAATAAAGCTTAAAATTTTGCAACGACTATTATCGGAGCAACAACAGTATTTACATTTATAAAAGACCAACAAGGAAATATGACCTCACAGGATTTGAGGATAAAATCCCTGGCTGCTCCTTTCTCCCAGCAAGAAAAATCAGATGAGACCACAAATACATAAATGAAAAGTGGAAGTGCATCAACAGCAATAGCTTTTATGTGTACCTGATGTATATCTTCATGATTGATCGTGCTTGTGGTTGCCATCTTCAAATTTCAAATCTCCAGATCCAGGTTCAACAACGAACAAACCGAGCAGTATAAGTCCTTCTCGATCTCTCAAGTCTCACACTTCACTCCATCGCTATCCGTCTTGAGGAAGATCCATTGTTGTCGAGTGGAGAATAATGCAATACGTACAATAATATCAAGTCACTGTATGTATGCTGTAGTCGTGGTTGTGGTAGTAGATCCTCTTGTGAATTCAATTTCAATTGCAATCACAAAACCACGAAACACAATCAACAAAATGTATGTATGTATATATCAGGTCCGAATGTTGTCGTGCTTTTGGTGAGTGAATGCCATTATTTCTCTGTCCTTTCGTACATAAATTTATATCTATTGAGTTTCTCGAGTTGCGACAATGGACAACTTTGGTGAACAAGTACATACGAAAGGAAAAAACACAGATACCCACAACAAAGCAATAATTAGTGTATATAAATCAGGAAGAACAGGTATTAATCCATCAATAGGCGTGTAGAGCTTCTTTTCTTTGATGATCTGATATACTCACTGATCAAGTAATAAGTCGGTAGCAGCAGAGCTTCATGTTGCCTTGAATGAGACCACCGACTAGAAGAAAAAAAAACGAAACAAACTTAATAAATATTAAGCTAAAAAAAATCCGCACCACGTGTAAAATGATAATTTAAACAGCCTTCTATTTTACAATATCGACATATCAATCCACGGTTTTCATTTCAGAAGAAAGTACTCTTACATGGAAAATAATCAATGCTCTTACAGAGGCAATAACACAAAAATAAGAGATCTGCGCATCTGCATGCATGTAGAGATGTATGCACAACGTTCTAACTGCATTTTACTAATGCTCAACTAAACAATGGGTAACAAGTTTTATTCCACTGGTGGGTTTATCATGCGTATAATCACCATTTGTTAACGCCATGTGTATGAGTAAATGTTTTCAATTTTGTAAACCACAACAGAACATCAACTGTAAACATTTGTGTTAAGCAAATGTAACGAAACTTCCAAGTATTAACTTTACTAATGAATAATACAAACGCTCGTAAGTAACATCGCTAATGAATAATACAAACGCTCGTAAGTAACATCGTCTGGAAAACTCTTTGTCAGGTCTGCAAAGTGAAATTCATACAATACTACAACGTGACTATATAGTATTTTTGCAAATGGAGTGCATTAAACTATAAATATAGCATTTTATAAACCATATACCGGGAGTGAATGAATGAATGCTTATGGGCAAAGTGCATGAGACTGGATTATCGAATTATAATGATTGGCACAGGGTAATAAATATAGAATTTCACTCACTCAACTACGAACTCCAGGTTGTTCTTATGCACATATACACAAGTATAAATATAATTCTTACAAAATAAAATAACGAGCCTAACCGGTAACCTTATACATTTTCACTTGGAAAGCAAAGTATTGCATTAAAATTGGCTGACACTAACTAACAAAAAACCACTAACGCAGCCAGCCAGTCCAAAATCAACCAAGCCAACCAACTCTCAAACTGAACTAAATTGGTTAGTTGGTTGGACGGAGGAAGGATTTGTTCCAAGAAAAAGTGGAAGAAAGAAAAGGGTTGTGAGCAGGGAAAAGAAGGCTACGAGGAAGGAAGACTGACTGACTGAAGCAAATTGGCAGTGGTTCAGATCAAAATATAAAAGCGATATAGTGAGACCAACGCAACAACGCCAGTTTACTTACGATGGAACTTGTGCAGCCATCATATGAAAGTTTTGCTACAATCTGTTACTGGAGAGATAGTTACTATTACGACCGGTCGTATGTGTTCAGAATTGGATTCCGACCCATGTATTATTCTCTCCCAGCTTACGAGCATGCATGTGGATAGGACTTTAAAGTAGAAAGTTTGGGTGTTTAAACAAAATTTATTTATTGCTTTTTATTGAGTTGAAACAACCATTAATTCCGCTAAATGGGAATTGTCTTTTTCACTTGACGGTCTATAAGAAATCCAAGCGAAGAAAATGTGGTGGAATAGAAAGAAACAGATTAAATTGAACTACGTAAATACATTTTGTTTAATGTTAAATATTTATATCACATACGTGCTTACATACTACTTAAATATTAGTGTGGGCAGCACATGAAAGCTTCATGAAATTTAAACCAACGCGTTAATGGACAATCAAATATATTTTTACCAAGTTAAACCAAAACATAAATTGTAATATTCTCAAGATGTAATCGGAGCTGTCTGCCTTACATACGTATTTCTTAGACATGGATTCTATATAACAAACACGACTTTGGTACTCCTTACCTTATTGAAATATTATATATGATCCAGGGTACGACGCAATGTTGTAAACAATGAAAATAAATGTGCAAAAAACTCGTCCATGTTCTGTAACCACCCTTAAATTTGGTCATAGCGTCTTTCCGTGTACTTTCATCAATTTCATTACTCGCCCCGTCTCTCTCTCGCTCTCTCTTATGCAACACCAAGGAAAACTGTGATAGACAAGGAAGACAGGCTACTGGGAGGGCATTTGACAGTTTGTTCTCATTTTCTCGGGTTTTAACCAGGAAAAGTTGTTGCCACTAGAAGAACATACACGGAACGAACAGCTTTTCTCCTTCCTGCCCAACTTCTCTCCATACATTAAGGAGTTCCAACTTTGTAAAAAAATCGCTTTTTTCGCTCTTTCACAAAACGCTTTTTTCTCAATTCCGCATGCAATTTCGAAATTTTTTCCAATATTTTTGCTTAAAAATAAAACCAAGGTTAAGATAATTTTATTTTTGGACCAAAAGAGTGAAAAAAGAACGAAATTGCGTCGCAATTGGGAAAAAAGCGTTTTGAGAAAAGAGCGAAAAAAGCGATTTTTTTACAAAGTTGAGAGTCCCTATTATTACAGATCTCGAGTTCAGTTCACTACCACCACCGAGATGTAAGGGAAAGAAAAGTTTCTTGTTTCTGGTGAGAGATAAACTTCATTTTTGTGACAGACAGATTGGACAGATGGACATCTTGCTCTTTAGTGAATTTTGCAATAGTTTTGTGCAGAGTGTGATTGTTAAATGGGGGAAATGTAAGGAAGCCTCTACCTAAATGGAGTTTTTGAAGTTCCAATTTATCCTTTATTGTTGCATAATCAAGATTGTTATTGTCAAAATGATGGCCAGAAATAAAAGATAGGAAATATTCCAGTGGGAGCAAGATGTCAATTAAATGAAACAGTGACTTAAGTTCAAGTCGTATGGAATGTAATTGGGACAAGTGGAGATATCTTCTTTAGCACATACACATACTATTCTCTTGCAATTTGACATAAAGCCAAAATATCATGAGTTTAGAATGAATGTGATGTATGTAGCACGTTTACCTCATCCAAAATATTCTACTCATTTGCAATTTCATTTACTAACTTGCCAAAATATTGACAAGCCAAAAATAAAATTAATGGTAAATATGGAAAATGTTATTGTTTTTTGTAAGGTCAAGTATAAAATCTGCAATTTTACGTAGAATCATAAAATGACTTTTGTTTTAATTAAATGATGATGAACCCAAGTTGCGAGTCTAATGAGCTCGGGAACCAATTGACGGTTTATGACACGAACAAAAGATCGTCCTCTGCAATGTAATGACAATCTTTGGAGGGAAGGAGAGAAGAGAGGAAAATGACAATAGACGAATACGCATCTAAACATGGGTCCATTATGTTGTTTAAAAGCAGTTGCCAATTTAACTCGGAGATTTACTGATTTCATCTCCACATTTTTGGCACAATTTTAGACATGCATACATACACACAGTCTCGAGCAATAGGTACGCTACGTACTTCATTCATCTCCCATTAATTCAATCCAATTTTTTCTACAGATTCGAGTATTTTTATATCTAAACTTGTAGAAAGTGATTACATGGTTGGTTGGTTGGTTGACGGTTGAGGTTGAAATGAAAATTTATCTGAATCTGTGCATCCTTGCACAAGTTGTGCAATACAGTGTTTATTTCAATGACAACCTTTGAGTTATGTTACAAATGTAACAAGATTTTTAACAAAATATTCACGAAAGCTTTCTGCAACTCTTCTGTAGTACAAATTTATCAGTGTTCCTTATTTTCTATTATGAGAATACAAAATGTTTGTACTTGTAATAGAAGTATTTGATATGGTACAATTACGCCTATGAAATATTGAGGAAATGCTAAATTTTCACACACGTCTCGTCTATATACGTACAAAATTAAGGCTCGACAATTTCGCGTTTATTGCAAGCTGTTGCACCGTTGGAAGCACCAACTTGTAAATTGGAAACAGTTGTATTCCGCCGAGTGGAATGAAATGAGATTAGGAATTTTAAGTGATTTCAGATTCCGAGGATAAAGTCAAGTGTTTCGTCAAGAATTCTCTCGTACAGCACGAGTCGTACTGTTTCATTTAATGAAACTGGAATTTCACTTTGCTGAGGAATATCAAATATTGCACAATTCTAGTTCTAATTTCCAACAAAATTAAAAGCAACGAATGATGGCCGGGAGCAAACGCATACTTTCCTTTCCTTCATATTTATTTCCACATCATCCTGTGTATAAGTTTTGAAATCATGAACCATATACGTTTTATATTTAGTCTCTCGCCCTTTAACTTAAATTGTATTTTGACAATTACAGGGTGCTGCAGGAATAGTACATGCATAATACAAATAAATGGTACCTTTTACAGAGCTGTCAGTTTGTCTGCTAGCTTTTTTATTTTTATAGTCAACTCTGCTATCGGTTCTGATTCGACTAAATTAAGTGTCATATCGTCATCTTTAAAATAAAACATACCTTTGTGATACTTTGACGATTTGTCGTTTTTGCTGTCCAGGTCAAATTCACCTGAAATAATTAAACAATATTTTAAATGTACAATTCACCTCATCATGTAGTCATTACACCTCAAAGCAAGGACATGTTCATGTCAACTTGATAAGTAAACATCCGGTAGTTTCAAAAATAGGAGTAACAAATGGAACAAAGCAAAATATTTTTATATTAAAAACACAACCAGCCCATTATATTTTTGTAGACTTTTCTGGACTAACTACAGATAAATAAGTGTTGCTGCAGTTGGTTATCAAACACTGTAAACTGGTACAAAATCATTGTACCACGTACGTGAGAATATCGTACAAAACATAAATCCTATGGACACATAAAAACATAAAAAAGTAAAATAAATCTCGCTAAACACTCTCTCAGGTCTTAGAAGACAAGTTTTGAGCACTTTTCATATAAATAAATAGCCTTTCAGTCAGTCCAGCTTTGCCTGCCCCGAACCAGGATTTATCAGCGCATCAGAATCGGTATTTTATTTTCTACCAAGTTCTTAGATTATACTATCGAAAAAAATTTGTATTACGTTTTGATTATTATTTAGAAACTATGTAGTGCAAATTTTCTTATTATTTGACACTGGAAAGGCAGGACAATAAAAGACGAACGGACATGGCGGGTGCATAAGCCCTCGTTCGGGCTATAAAAGTAAATCCTTTTCGAATCCAAGTCCCCATACCATAATTTATTTTATATATATAGAAGAACACGGCTTTCTTGCATTACAAAGTAAGCTGTAGGCTCCCACCCTATGAATTATGCAATTTCTGTGTGAATTCCTCCTAAAATAGGATTTATGCTTTACAATGAATAAGCTTATGTATGTGCCTCCAAGTTTTACATGCCGGGTAATACGTAGTATGTTATGAAACACTCTACTCTAGACATTAATTTTAGATTTTGAAAATTGCATAATTTTCATTGCAATTAAAATCCCTTTAAAAGTACAACGTTTTGTTGCTTCATAAATATGCGTGTACTATGAAAGGAAGATAATTGACCTATAATAAACATTCATACAAAATTATGATATTTAAAACCAAATTGCCCTAAATAAATTCTCATCCCTCCATCAATAGTATTTTTTACAGCTTACATAAAATTTCATCAGCCTTGTCAAAACATTTTACTTTAGGTTTGCACTTTAGGCTTATGTCAAGCAGCCAATATCACCTGCCCCATCCGTCATTCTGCTGAATTGATTTTGCTTATTGATGTTACAAATGAACTACTTAAGGTATATGCACGCGAATGTACGTGCATACGTGCGTAAATATATCTCCTTCCATCACAATGATAGCATCGGCTTACATATGAGACCATGAGGGAAAAGGTCTCCATTTTTAAAGCCTTCGTTATGGATGGCGTTCAATGTTTCTAATGAAGAGTGTCGTCACAAATGCTCGTTATTTCTCCCCGCGGGATGGATGACGAGGACTGCAGTTTACAGCATTGATGTCGCAGTTTTTATTGTAACACGATAGAACGTACAGCAGCTATCTGGCAAAAGGGAGTTGAGTGCACATGGTGGGGGGACTGCTTCTTGGCCCACGATTCTATTGGGATGTGACAGTCAGCCGTGAATAAATGAGTTCAGCCAGTAACAGACAGACGTACAATCTATTCAAAAAACTGAACCAGAATGGGACAAAAGAAAAACAATGCAATATGTATCACGGCCAGCAACTCACTCGAGTGGACGAAACATGAAGTGAACGAAATATAATTGAATTTAATTAATGAATGATGAGTAATTTGCTTTAGTGTGAACGCTGAATGTTTGAAACTTTTACTCAGTAATTGATAAATATTTAGTAAACAAGCCCAAAAAAAGTTATATTTTGTCAAAATATTATCTGACTAAATATTATTATGGGCTGATAGATCTTCTCGGAATTCTATTTTTAGGAAAATTATGTCGTTATTATTGAATTATTTTTCGGAAAAATATTCATTGGTTACATACATAGACTCAACTTCATCGGCGACAAAAATATCGATCAATAATTGAATACGTAAGCATAACTGATTATATGAAAACTATTTGTATGCTCAAACGGCCTGAATGAAGCTGAATGGATAACAGGAACTAAAAGATTAACGAAGATTGCAATGTATGTATGAGATTGACAATTATTTGATGTGAGAGTCGAGATGAAATATGAAATTGAATGTCCAGCCGTCACCTCACAAGTAGAAGTTCCATTGTAACATCAGAAATAACATGGCATATATTTCCTAATGAGTGAAAGGTTTAATTTCCTGTATAGTTATCATCATGTTCATCGAATGTGGACCGTCAGTCATCATCCACCAGCATTAAATACTTTGGAACATGAAGTAGATAAATAAATGTCGTCGCCTTTGTGATATGAAAATGTTCCCCGTGTTACATACTTATTTATAAATATATCTTTACTCACTGGCAGTAGTGAAAGTAACCAAGATCCAATGCGAAATCATTTTTATACGTACAAATAATTATTTTATTTCAAAATTATTTCACATGTAAAAATAAGTGCAATCATTTGAAGCATATTCGACCAGTTCAAATATGCTGGAAAATGGATAAAAATACACATTTGTAAGTGCAGTGCAAACTATGTAGGAGGGTGAACAAAAAGGAAGACGAAAAGCTTATCTTTAATTTACTTTGTACCCAAGTTGGAGGCCGAATTCTATTTTATTTATTTTTCTCAGTTGTTGAAGAAGAAAGGGAAGTAGTTAGTAAATACATAGATGAGTGGGAGATGAGTCACGTTCACGTTTATTTACACTTTTGATACAACTTGAAGAATGATGAATCAGTATCAAAAACTTATTTTCGTCACTATTTTACTCTGCCACCTCAATAAAACTACTAAATGAGACAAATACTCGATACAAAAGTGATATAAAGAGTCCTTTTAAATGATAATGATGATGATGATGAGCACCAAAGGAAAATGTGAAACCATCAGGAAATTCAGCTATGTATTGCGTTTTGCGTATAGTGAAACCAAAAGTGCTCAGGTTATACGTACTAAATGGCTAATGGAGAAGACGACTGTGTACAATGCCGTCCAGAACTCTTGCGTAATAATAATTCATAATTTCAACCCTAAATGATGATGCGAAGGCGATTTGAAGTGAATGGATCATGATATTTAGGGTACTTTCTACTTATGTATATACACGGAAAGGTTATTTTACTCAATGAAACATAAATAATGGACGTACTCACGTCAAGTTTTGCAAATCTCGCAAATTAAGCATAGTGTTGTATGTACAAGGATAGCATATATTTATATGTACTTATCTCCACTGCTGTGACTGTGCATATGTCAACGTCAAGAACTTTCCCATCTTGAAATGTTTAACCCACGCAATTAATCCGCATTATGTAACACAAGACAAAAAAATCATCGGTTCTTAGTGTTTTCTCATCCTGTCTCACTTTTGATGTTAACCAACGGGTAGAATGCCATGTACATTAGGCGCACCATGGAATATATCAGTCTGCATATTCTGTCTATGCAATCTGCGTGTGTATGGACTCCAGGCAGGATCACAATCTTGATTATATTTGCACTATACAGATAACCTCTTGCCTCTCACAAGCATACATATTACTACATCCACTCCCAACTATGCAACAACTTGTATTTAATATACAAACATGCAGACTTGGTTTAGCTTGCTTGCTGCTAACGAGGTTTGGAACTTTGCTTAGACAGTATTAAATCCCCTCGGGACTAAGTTTGGATTACATTATGCATGCACAAGAGAGAACCATATGGGCCATTCCGCTCTGTAAATACTTCCAAATTTACAATTTACAAACAAACTCCAGCCAACCAACCAAAGTTTTACTCCAGCAAGTCTTATAAAGTCTTTCAGCTCAACCTGCTCTACTACGTCCTCCTATTTCCACTCATCTCTAATGTGCTATAATATTCACTCATTAAGGCTGTTTAAACTTTTAATAGATTTCTTTCTAAAAAAATCTAAAGGCAAATGACCAGACAATGCCACAAGTTTAGTGGAGCACAAACCCAAATTAGTAGATATTGGCACTTGTCGTAAAGTGTGATTCTTTGGAGTGAGTAAAAGAATCAATGCACGACCATGCACAAAGGGTTTGGTATTTGGTTACCCCTTCCTCCTTCGCCTTCTTGTACATAAAGAAATGCTTCTCGAGAAGAGCATTACGAGAAAAGTAGAAAAGAAAACATGATGAAACGTGAAGTTTGGTTTAGAAAAAATAAGGAAGCCTTTTTGGCGACATTCCAAAATTCGGACAACCGGCGTGTGACATATTCTTGCACACTTTGAGCTTCAGTCTTCTAAATAACTAAATAACTTGTGCTGTGGAGCGTTCAAATATTTTCCAACGCCGTATTCGATCCTTGGATACTTTTATATTAAAAAAATTAATCTTGAAAAATTGCTTGTTTCGAAAATCTTAGCCACAATTCCTGAATAAAGTATTCTAAAAATACTTGTCTAGATTGAGAACATAGTTTCGAATGATTTTGTTTCCTACGTGAACAATTTTGATCTCATACTTTCTTGGAGGAAGAACAATTCTCGTAACAGCAGGACACACGCAGGGTGTGGGTTTGACACATTACTTTTAAATTGGAGTTTCCAGAAAGGAAATTGCGAAACAAGAGCAATACATTTCTTGAGCGCATATCCAGTGTCCTCTATCTTGTTTCTTCTCCAAGCAGCTCACAAAAATGGAAAACTTGGAACAACACTTTCCAAAATATATGTATTGCAATAATGGTTACAATAAACAGATTACGGGACCAAAATGGACTATTTGTTTGTGATCTGTTGGGTAAAACGACTTAATTTGCTGGTCTATGCGAGGAGAATCGAAATTTATGACCGGGTTAACAGAGCATGGAAAACGAGATTCCAAACTTGTCCCTATAATAAATCCCAAAAAGCATCGCCATACCATCAGCCAAGACGGAAAGTTAGGAAATGTATCAAAATTTAGAGAAAACAATTTC